AATGGCAAATATTAGAAAATGTCTTTACTGTTAGAAATGCACAGAAGTTGTAATATACAGAATATGCGGGTTCATAACAAGTTGAATTTGCAGATAGAATCATAGAATCATAAAATTTAGGGGTTGGAGTGGACCTTACAGATCATCTAGTCCCAACCCCCTGCCCTGGGCAGGGACACCTCCTCACCTCATCCAACCTGGCCTTGAACACTGCCAGGGTTGGGGCAGCCACCACGTCCCTGGGCAACCTGTGCCAGTGTCTCACCACCCTTAGAGTAAAAAACCTTTTTCTCTCATTTAACCTAAACTTCTCCTCCTTCAGTTGGAATCCATTACCCCTTGTCCTATCATTGCAGTTCTTAACAAAGAGTTCCTCTCTGGCTCCCTTGTAGACCCCTTCAGATATGGAAAAGTTGCTATGAGGTTTCCATGCAGTCTTCTCCAAGCTGTCTTGGTGTGTACAAGTTGCATCAGTGTGACCATGTTTTATGGTTAACTGAGGTGGCTGACAGCAGACATAGGGACTCTTCCAAATTCAGACTTCTTTCTCACAAATTGAGAGAGGATGGGACATGCAAGCAGCGTATCTGTGAACACACCTAGGTTGTTGCTAATACAGAGACATGTAAACTTCCAGGGCAATGCTCAGATTTCTTGTTTCTTGTCTGTGAGAGGCTAGAGAAGAGCCCTCCATTAGTTTGTAGCTAAAACTGTAAGTGCTGACAGCAGCTGAAGTCAACCTTAGGTATTTTACCTGAAAATAAATGGATGGTGGGATATACCCCTTGATTTCTATCCAACACCATCAGCTTTAGACAGTTCATGCACTTTCACTGGAACTGGCTGTGGGCAGTAAATTCTGCAGAACAGGGGTGGCAGTGACCACTTCTGGCGATTCCTAAGAGCAGTAACACTTTGATGGTTTGTGTTGCACTACAAACCAGTTCGATTCTGTGCCATGATGTTGGTCACAAATGGAAGAGCACAGCTGTGTGGATCCATCTATATGACCCATCTCGGTGAGCACTGGAAGCAGCAAAGGCTGTTTCCCATGGAGGTGTCTCAGGGTGATAGGCTTTTTTCTTTTAAACTTCATTAGACCAAAGTATAAAATAAAGGCAGGAGAGCCACCTTGACCAAGGAACATATTCTTTGGCGGCTAATAAGCTCTGATTAAGATTTTATTGCTTTAGAGCATTTGCAGTATCCTGCTCTTATGTGGCTTCTCTGTCTAATAAAGGATGAGCTCACACTGCAGGCTTTTTCCTCAACAGGGAAATAATAAGGTATCTTGTAGCTACATAACTGTCTATTCTCACAAAACTAGTTGGAAGTGTTTGAGACTTGGTTCCCATTGCTGAAGCACAAGGTTGTCAAAATTAGTATGCTCTTAGCTATAAAGAAGTGGGCTGCCCAGCAAAAAACTAAATGATGCAAGGTCTCACACTGAAGTGTTCTCAAGGACAATCTGATTGGCAGCTTTTTCCTCTCCTGTGTAATGGGTTTTATGTAATGTAGTTAAACCTTTCCTGTATAGGTATTTTATTGAGGATTATTCCAAGGCAGTCAAAATGGAAACAGTCATGAGTATCTCTTGCCCTCTGTGTGCCAGTTGTATTTGACTTGGTGTTCTGTCAGAGAACCCTGGTTAGGCTGTGTGTCTGTGTGAAAAGCAGAAATGCTGCTGCATTTGGAGTCACCCTAACAAAGAGTGTATGTCACTGTGTACCCAGGGAGCAGGGGGTTACTCTGCCAGCTAAATGTCCTCTCACCAAGGAGGGAACACAATCCTCTGGGAGCAGTGGCTGTTTGGATAATTTGGATGGGAGCTGCCCAGCCTCAACGTGTTGTTGCTGTTTCCCTCTGCTGCTGCTGCAGAATCTCCTCCAGGTGCTCAGGGCCTGCAGGAGATGTGATTTTGTGGACCTTTCTCTCAGTAGCATAGCAACTGCCATTGCTTCCCACTGCTCCATCCCCTCCGCTTGGCTCCCTCAGCTCTGCAGGATCAGGAACTGAACCAACTTTAAAAACAGCCCTGCAAGACAGGAGAAGTTGTAGGGGGGTTTATTTTTATCTGGGATCTCTGTATTTTCTGACCCAGCTCTCTGTGGGGTCCTCAGGACTGGCATGGCTAGGGAGTGCTTGGAGCAGGGGTGGGACAACAGGTGGGGAAGAGGAAGGGAGCGAGGATAACTAGGAGAAAGGTCTGCTGATTCCTGGCTTCAGGATTCAACCACAAATTCCGGGGCAGCCCTTGTGATTGCTCCCAGCTCAAGTGCTGGTGGAGCACAGCTTCAGCAATGAACTGCCATCAGAAGAGCAATCAGAAATTAGCACAGAAGTCCTTTCAGTTTCACTCTATTGACCATAAGGGCAAGGAAAAAGTCAAATTTAAGCAAGGGAATGGGATTTTCTTTGGAATTTCTGTGCTCTGCTGCTGCCTTTAGTGATTCAAGGCGCTGACCTGCAGCATCTTCAGCACAGCACAGTGGTGTGTGCAGGGCAGCGAGTGCTGTGCTTCTATGACAACAGCCCCACATTCTGTGCCAGTATCATTTGATCTTGTTTTCTGTGTTGTGCTTCTAACAAAGCTGCTCTAGCTGGCCACATTCTCAAATTGCTTTTTAAACTCAGATCTGAAAGTCACATTTGTAGCCAGTTACGCAGTGGAGCAATCTGGAGGGGTTAATAGAAGCAGCAGTGCTTCAGCTGAAAGATCAGCTTGGAGTGTGTGGATGGATTCTGTGAAGGCAGGGGTGGGAAGAAGATATTGATTCCTGTATGATTAGTGGAATACTTCTTTGTTAAAGGTCTGCCTCTGAATCTTTAAATGACCAGGCTTCAGGTGATGAGGGCTTCTCACTTTTTTAAGCCTCTGTGAGTGGAATGTAGAAGTAGAGATTTTTTTAATTTATTTTTTCTTCTTGAGCAAGTGCACAAATGTTCTCAGTGGCATTTGTGAAAGTTACAATGTGTATTGGGAAGATAAATTACTGAAATAGATAATTTCTTACTGTCTTCCAGCTTGGTGATGGTACAAATCAATTAATCACCTGGATTCATAACTTCTGCTGCTGAGGTTCCTAAGATTAAGGAGGCAGTGAGTGCTTTGGCCTGAGTGTGTGTAGGTCAGTCAGATGTTGACTTCTTCATTTTAGAATTCCCACAACACATGGGTAGAAGAGCCTTTATCTGATGCACTGGTGAGAAGAAAATTCGTACTTGTGTGTTCTGGAGTGCTTGCAAAGGACTGTGTAGCCTTACTGAGTAGCAGCTGAAGTTCAGAAGAGAGTGTATCAGAATAGTGTTGTATCCTACAGAGAAACACTTGTGGGAAGATTTCGCTGCATTCAGTGCAGCTGCTCTCTGCTGAGCTACTGATAAATTTCTTCAGGAACTGTCCTTGTTAATGCAGACTGTGAACAAATGTGTGCTGCTCCAGCCCTTCTCTGTGTGAGAAAGTTGCATGTGTTTAATCAGAGATAAACTGTCATGCATATTGTACTGAAGTTCATTTAAACTAGGTTGGTTTTCATTTGTTTCCCCTCTGTTGGGAATTTAAGTTCAGTTATCTGCTTTGGTTAATAGCTGTTTAACTACAGTGAATTTTGAGCTGTTTGTTTTGGTTTTGGTTGGGTATTTTTTTCAGTGAATGAGTGAAGTCTTGTGTGCAGGTGAGACTTGCTAAGAAGAAAAGTATTTGGGCACATGTGAGAGTAGCCATTGGTGGAGTTTATTCCCAAAGGTGCCTATGAATCTGAGCTGAGGAGAAAATGAACTTATTTCCCTGGATGCTGGAGGCAGAAGAGACTTCTGGCACTGCTCAGTGCTTTCTGACACTGCACACAAGTGGCACAGGTCCTGGATTGGATGAGTAGCTGCTAATCAGTGCTGTCATTGCCCCAGTTTGCCAACACTGTGACTGGTTATAAGGAGCCAAACCCTTTGCTTGTTTGATGTGGGGTAGGTTTTGAAACAGCATGAGAGATTACAAGTGTGGTATATCTGTTAAAAGGTAAAATTTCCTTTTTTTCCACTGTAGTATTTTGGTCTGTGTAGTTGTGTTCTGTTCAGACATGAAAAGTCAGGGCTTTCCTTGTCTTCTCCCGCAAAGTGTCTGAGCTGCATACATTAAAGCAGCCAGGGCTGCTCAGTGAGTCTTGATATTTCAGGTTCCACAGTTGATTTTTGGTTTCTGAATGCAGTTCAGGGCCACAAGAGATCTCTGAGGCTGCATTTCCCCCCCTTCCTGCCCTGCTAACATCCCCAACTCTCATGACACCATAATGAAAAGGGATCATTTATCCATTCCAAATGCTGCCTACAGCCACACCGAACCCTCATATTTTATGCAGGTGCTGTTTATTTCAATTGCAGTCTTGAGACTAGATAGGTGCTGGGCGGATTCAAAGTTTTCAGCTGAAATTCCTGATGTTTCATCTTCTCCTGCTGCCGTTTTTTAATCTTCTGTAAACTCTGAGGACAGAGCTTGTCTAAAGAGAAAATGGTGGTGGTGCATGTACTAGAAATGCAGATTTTCCACAGAAGTCATAAAAGGAATTATTTAGGTTTATTTACCTTGGAGGCTGCTTGATGAATTGCATAGCTGGATGCACTGTCAAAGATTTTAATTCTTGGTTGCAGTACTGTAGTTTATTGGAGCAACAGAAGTGGCACCCTGCCACAGGAGTAAAGAATGCTGTTTCCCCATGAGTATTTGAACAGTCTGCAGTATCCATCTGTTATTCTGTTAAACACAAAGCAGTGCAACACGTGTGTCTCTTGGGTTTGGAAACCTTACCTAGTACAAGTGAATAACAACCACTTAAAGCCAGGATTTAAAAGAAGATTTCGAAGTGTGTTCCTCTTTCTTCAGCAGATATAGTGGTTATGACATTAGAAAGTAGAGAGATAACCTAAACATATGGTACACAGTTAAGGAAAACAAATTCTGAACTGCTCTTAAATCTGTTCTTTTTCCATGTGTGTCATTTTCTTAGATGGCTTCAGTAACAGATGCCAGATACAGGCAGAAGGATACTTCAGACCAAAATTTTGATTACATGTTCAAGCTCCTGATCATTGGCAACAGCAGCGTGGGTAAAACATCCTTCCTCTTCAGATATGCTGATGACACTTTCACACCAGCCTTCGTTAGCACAGTAGGAATTGACTTCAAAGTGAAAACAGTTTACAGAAATGACAAGCGTGTGAAGCTGCAGATTTGGGTAAGTGCCAGTGTTTTCAAAAATGCTTTATATTAATCCCAGTAAAGGTACAACGGTAAAAAATAGCATGTTTGGGAGTGGACTGTTGGACTAATACAGATGTTGATTGTTCCTAAGTTCTGTGTGACTGTGTCTTTGTATCTCTGCAGTAAACTGAGTAATTCTACTCTTTGTATTGCTGTCTCATTCAACTGGTCAGTCCTGATCTGGCCTTAAGCAGCTGCTCTGCATTCTCAGGAGTTGAGGTACAGTCAAACTGCAACAAACCCTGGCAGGTCTGGAGTCCTGTAGTAACACTTTTTGAGTGAGCACTAGTAGTTGAAGAAATTCAGTGAGTACTCAGTGACTGAACTCTACACATAATTTCTACTATCAGTTTATGTCCTCTACACAGGTTACTTCTGTCTTCCTGCAACTCATGTACCTGCTCAACAACACCAAGCATTTATACCCATGTCCTGCCCCAGCTAAAAGCATAGTCTTCTAATTGATCTGTATACACTTGGTTTATCATTAATCTTTAATAACTGCATTTAAATGTAGAATTATAGTAATCACATCTGATTTTTTTAATGTATTGTGATCATCTTGAATAGTCAGAGTAAACAGTGAGAATCTACAATGAGGTGGTGGTTTTTTTTGTACTGCAACTGTATGATTCATTTTAGTTCTGTGTTGCTGGGTACAAGGTACAATAAATTATTTAATAAAAGATTCTTTTTGTGTTGTAAAATCCTGACATTGAAACTAATGTAGATAAACTGACGTGAAACTTTGATTTAATTTAGGGTTTAGGTAATAAAAATGTTTGTACTTCATGCCCTATAAGCAACTAAAGATGATTTGCATCCAGCCAGTCTTTCTTAATCTTGGAACATGGAATTTTCTATTAAGTTGTGTAAAAGCAAGAGAGAAAGCACCATAAAATATTTGGGTGTTTTCCAGAAATACTGGGATTGAAGCGAATTAAACAATAATCTTAATTAAATCTGTTTGAAGGCTGTGGGGGGGAGAAAGGCTTTAAGAACCTTAAACTTCTTATGAAAAGAGATGTCAGGTGGATTCCTCAGAGGGTGCTGTCTATGGGACCTGAAATATTGGAGTTGCCAACAACACTGTTGATTTAACATTTATTTTCAATAAAAGGTTCATCTAAATGTTTGACACTTGGGTCCCTGATGTGAGTCATAATTCAAGGACCTTAACAAAAACATTAAGTGTGTCCCTCCAGAAAAAACACAGTATTTGAGCTTGTTTATCTCCTGCCCGTCCTGAGATTATACTTGTAATTTCACTGTGTCCTTCAGGATGCATGTAGTAATAATGGGGGCCATTAGTTTATCAAACCTGTGTGTTCCTCTGTGTTGGAAAGAAGAATTTTCTTACCAACTTGTTTTCCAATACTTTTCAAAATGACTTACAGCTGCTATTGAGTTTCTGTCAGTGCAGGACTCTGACTCCATCGAACACTTTGCTTTGACTTGGCATTTTCCAGTTATGTTGACATTTTTAAAAATTAAGCTCCTCCTAAACTTGATGTTAAGCCTTATCTGAGTCAGGTTTAATGTGAAACTAAGTAAAGAAGGAGAAGGTACAAGTGTTTAATTTAACCACTTCAAATGTCTTTATAAAATCCAGAGAGAAGCACTTGTAGGAACCTCTAATGTTCTCTGCTCCACAGAGCCAGGTCTCTTTCAGTTCATGGGTGCTTGTGGAGCTCTGAAGTGTGTGCAGCTGTGGCAGACTGGAGGTGCTCAAGGGCTATGCCAAGTAACCTTGTTTTGTGTTCCGCAAATCTCAAGGTGAGGAGGAAGTTCCTTCAGCTGTGCGGTGATCCAGAGGGATCAGTGATCAGTGGGACTTTCCACATAGACTTTTGCCTGTGTTGACCAGGGGAGCAGGATATTTGGGTGCAGGACCTCAGCTACAAAGAGTTCCTTGGGTTTTCTTAAAGAAAAATTCACACTGCTTCAAGTGCTGAGCAGCTGCACATAAAGACTAACAGCTGTGTCAGTAAATGTCTTTCTGGCCTGTCTTGTGGTTTTGTATCTCCAGCAGAAATTGGTGAGCATTTTAAAACCAGAGATGTAGCATTTGTGTTTGTGCTGGGTTTGAGGAAGTCTGTTTTTTGGTGAATCAGGATTTGACAAGCTGTCAAATGTAATGATCAAAAAACAGTGCTGCTCGGTTTAATTTCGATGTCATTAGTGAGCCTCTTGCTTTGCTGACATTAACACCTCAATCACCCAATGGGTATTTTAGGAGGAGCCCTATCAGTTGTGCTAGCGACCAGACAGTCTGGGGAATGATCTGCTTTGAAAAGTCTTGAAAGGAATATCTCTTTAGCTTGAGAGGAATGGGACACAGCAAGGCTGTTCATGATGTTTTTAAGGTACAGTGACAGCACTGCTGCTAGAGACCAAACCAGTGAAATGATTCAGAGAGGGGTTATATGATATAATGCTTTTCAGGCCTTTTTTTTTTTTTTTTTATTTATTTCTTTAAACAACTCCAAGGTGAGTTGACTGTGTTTTAATTTCAAATATTTTCTGTCTTGTTTAGGAATGGTGTTGTTATGTAAATAGAATAAATTACCTTTACTGAAAAAGTTAATTTTGTAGCTGGAAGAGATTTGGTAATTTAATATTGAATGTAAAACATTATTTGCATAAATATATTCATATATTATGTAGATATTCTAATATCTACATAAATGTAATTCTTGCATTAGATTTTTTTATGCCACTGCCATCTGTAATAGCACTTTCATACAAAGCATCTTCCTTATGATCTTTTTGTAAGGAGCCAATTTGTAATATCTCTCCACATTTGGGGTGTGCATGTAGATGATTTCTTTTTTGACCAACAGTTTTGTATTCCCAGAGTTGCTAATTAATGATTACTGAAGCAAAGCTATTGCATTTTCAGCTGGGTATGTTTTTTATTATAAATAAACCTCAAAGGTAACATATTCTTAGCAAATGCAAACAGTTAATACTTAATGCAGAGTTCAGGTTGCCTAGCAGCTAGAGAGGGGCACTTTGTCCAGATCCAGATGGAAGCAGGTTGAGTGAATAAAAGTGATTTTGGTTATAGGTGAGAGCAATGTGAGATTTCTTTGTTTTGCCTTCTTCTGTGCACTTGTGTGTCTATTGGTGGTAAGTGATAAATGGTGGTAAAAATAACAGCAGAACTTGTGAGCAACGTGGCATTAAGGTTAACTGCTGAGGAGGAGAAGTCTGGTCCTTTGTGCTAGCCCAGTCTAGGTTAATTACTCTTTGCACAGTAACGTAAATGAACTGGTGGAAAATCACTGGCAGGGTTTAGCCCAAAACACTTGCACACCACAACACTTACCACACAGCACATACTTTGCATGAGGCATTTGATTACAGTTCCTTTGTACTTTTGCACAGCACCTTACACGAAGGACTCTACTGGTGCATGTACTGCACATAACACATGAGCATTTATGTGATTAGTCATAAACATAACTAAATACAGCTAATGTTACCATTGCAACTCCTTTCAACCCTCCTTGTAAAAGGCAAATAGAGGTTAGCTTTGGGTTGAAAGGCAAAAACTGGCTGTGATGTTGAGACAGGCAGCATATTTAGACTGCAGTATGAGTTTTCTTTTAAGGTACTGTTTATCAGAATTAAACTGCTAAGATGAAGCTTTTTTCCTTCCCATTAATAAAACTGTTTCCATGGCTTAACTGCTGAAACCTGTCGGGGTCTGAGCTTAGTTGTAGTGGATGTCTGAAACACATGTTCCAGCTCTCAGGCACAGCTGGGGAGAGGGTACAAAGCAACATCGCTCTGGGTTTTTTTTTGATCTTTAAAAACAGAAATATGACAACTGCTAATTATCCTGAGTGGCAGTTACCATTACAAAACAGAAAAGTGTAAACCAAAATAAACCCCATGCTGTGTAGCTGTCCAGAAGGCAAATATGCAGAGTTTTTAAAAGCTTTTTGTATCAGTTGTTGCCTGGATGACGGGATGAGCAGCTTGCCTCAGAGGGAAGGGATTCAAAGGAGCAACACTGGTAACTGAGCGCTTTTTTTTTTTCATTTAAAGGAGGTAAAATTAGAACACCATCATATTTGATTGTAAATTTTAATGTTAATTGCACACTTAACCAAAAGCTAATTATGCATTTCAGATGAGAGAATCATCTATTCCCCTGGCATCCCATTCCCATCATGGTTTTGCTAAGCTCCTTGTAAGCATTGACTTTAAGCTTGAATGCTTGCACAAAACTTGTTTCTAAAAAAAGAGATAATAGGAGTTCTGTAATTTAAGATATAGCTGCAATAAAGATTGATGTCTGTAAAGATCTAACAGGCCTGATTCTGCTCAGTGGATTCACAGCTGTTGTGAAATCCTCTGATTTGCTGTTTAGACAAAGAACTAAAATGGAGAAAGTCATGCAAGTGAAAAGAACAGGTTGATCCTCGTTAGAGAGAAAAGGATGACAGCTTATTTGTAGCATTGAGGACTTATTGGGTCCCAGGAATGGAAATAATTTTGGTGAGTGGACATAAAGCACTACTTCTGATGCTAAAACACAAGGCAGCATATTTGACTGGAGAAGGGCTACAGTAAATGTCTGTAATTCAATTCAAAGGTCTTGCTTTTGTCTCAAGTAATAATACTGCTGTTTTGAGAAGGGTGCTCATGCCACTCTGAATGTGCTTAAAGATTAGAGTTGCAAGAAAGATACAAGGAAGAGAAATGAAAACTTAATAAAAAATAAGACCCTGAGTGGTTAGTTATCCCACTCACTATTGGATGTATTGAGCTGCCTAAGCCTGCTGAGAAGGGCATTGCTGTGTTTGCAGTTAAACAGTTGACATGACTATTTCTGTTTATAGTTAATCACCTCAAGCCCATTGTTGTCTCATTATAACTATGTTAGCAGTGAAGGCCAAATTCAGTCTAAGCTCTGTTACTGCTGCAATTATTCCTGC